TATTAGTATTTTTTTTTTTTGGGGTACAGTTAGTGTGATATCCAGAGAGGCAATTGCAGATTAGGAAGTGAAGTGGAGACTAAATAGTTGAGTTTTTAGTCGTTTCTTGAAAACATCGAGTGACTCTGCTGTTCTGATGCAGTTAGGGAGTTCATTCCACCAACTGGGCAGATTGAGCGTGAGCGTTCGCGAGAGTGATTTCTTCCCTCTTTGGGATGGAACCACGAGGCGACGTTCATTCACAGAACGCAAGTTTCTGGAGGGCACATAGATCTGCAGAAGCGAGAGCAGATAAGAAGGAGCAAGGCCAGAAGTCGCTTTGTAGGCAAACATCAGAGCTTTGAATTTGATGCGAGCAGCAACTGGCAGCCAGTGCAAACGGACTAGCAGCGGAGTGACATGTGCTCGTTTAGGTTCATTGAAGACCACTCGTGCTGCTGCATTCTGGAGCAGTTGAAGAGGCTTGATAGAGTTAGCTGGAAGCCCCGCTAGTAGAGAGTTGCAGTATTCCAGTTTGGAGAGAACAAGAGCTTGAACAAGGAGTTGAGCTGCATGTTCAGATAAGAAGGGTCGGATCTTTCTGATATTATAGAGTGAATCTGCACGATCGAGCAGTTCTAGAAATGTGGTCAGAGAAGTTTAGTTGGTCATCAATCGTTACTCCAAGGCTTTTCACCATTTTGGATGCAGAAAATGGTTGCCCCATCCATCTGGATTGAAAAGTTATGGTGTAGAGTCGGGTTGGCAGAAACTACAAGCATTTCCGTTTTTGCGAGGTTCAGCTGAAGATGATGATCTTTCATCCAGTGTGAAATATCCAACAGGCAGGCTGAGATGCGAGCTGGAACCGAGGGATCATCAGGATGAAAAGAGAGGTATATCTGGGTATCATCAGCATAGCAGTGGTAGGAGAATCCTTGTCTCTGGATGACTGGTCCTAGAGATGATGTGTAGATGGAGAAGAGAAGTGGCCCAAGAACAGAGCCTTGAGGTACCCCAGTGCTTAGATGCTGTAGGTTGGACACCTCTCCCCTCCAAGACACCCTGAATGACCTGTCAGAGAGGTAAGATCTGAACCATTGTATAACAGTGCCCGCAACGCCCAGTGACTCGAGCGTAGATAGCAGGATCTGGTGGTTGACAGTGTCAAAAGCAGCTGACAAGTCCAGCAAAATGAGGACTGATGATTTAGAGTCTGCTTTAGCCAGTCTGAGATCCTCAACGACCGAGAGCAGGGCAGTCTCAGTTGAGTGGCCTTTCTTAAAGCCGGATTGCTTGTTGTCCATGAGATTGTTTTGAGTAAGAAAGTCCAGTTGTGCAGTTGAAGTCAAAATAATTAGCCCTCCTATGATATTACTTTTTGAAAATACTACCCAGATGATGCTCAATGGAGAGATTTCTTTTTAATACTTTTTCAGACATAATATTTTATTAACTATTTTGCCTTCAACTGTATGTAGGCCAGCTATGGCTTAGCTTACTATACCAGTTTCACTAGTATTAAGTGTCTTAATGAATGTTTGCCATTTACAATTGCATTTGTTTGTTAAATTAAATTCTTAAAGTTTTAATGTTGTTAGACCTGTTAAACTTATTTAACTACAGTGCAATATTTTAGGAATGTATGCAGCCACCAAGTTAGCATTTGCTGGTCTAGGGGAGTCGTGCAACAATTGGCTGCAGAAGACTGTGCAGTCAGACAGCTGTGAATGTTGGGAGGGAGGGAGTCATATCAATTGAACTTCAGGAGGAGGCAGGAAAGCACATCATCCCATTTCACTGTATGCCTCATAGGCGAATTAACTCACAAATTACTCATTTAAAAAATACAACCTCCTATCTTCATAGCAAAACAAATGGTCAGATTTGTTCGTTCATTGTGTTAGACTGGAGCTTGCCCTACTCTCTGCTCAGAAGGATTTACCTTGGGTAGGCAATGTGTACAACCTGCTCCACTTCATTTGGAAAACATATCACTTCAGCTAAAAATCCAGAAGGGAGCCAAAAATCTTGGAGTCGAACTTGGTGTATCTGTAAACAATCCAAGTGGTGTCAGGGGAACAAGATGATTGCCACATGTATCCAGGGCATTGGATGTGCTCCTTAAGCAAGGGAAAGAGATGAACCTGGAAGATTCGGGGCAGTACACAGCTGTAAATGCTCATATGGAACACCTGGCTGAATCATCAACAAATGCAGATGTAGCTGGCAGAGCAAAGCATGTGAGTGTAAAACATGGGTGGAAATGTTAATGGCTTATAAAAAAAAATGTGTGAAGTTTTGCCTGCTTTCCCATACATGCACATTTACACAGTAATGAGTAATGGTTATTAATAATACATAGATATTAATAAATAAATGTCTGCATAGCAACGTCTTGCATGTATGGCAATTGTTTCTCGAAAGTGCAATGAAAGATGGCACACATTTTGTTTTTTGCAGATCAAGGAGACCATGGAGGATGGCTCATTTCTAGCTTTCTGTCATTTCTTGGCAGATTTATTTTCAGCTTGTTACTGCAAAGAAATTATGTGATCCTACCCCAGGTAAATTTTACCTTGCTCAAATAATCAGTTATACTAGGGCTGCACAATATATCATTTCAGCATTGATATTGCAATGTGTAAATCTGCAATAGACATGTCGCAAGACTTCAATTGATTTCAATAGAATTTAAACCATTTGGACAGGGAATTATAAAGTTTGTCACTTTAACAACAATTAATTCTTTTATTATTTATACAATGAGGACTATACCGCGTTGTTTTGCATTTGATTAGTGCATTTCTGTAACTTAATACTTTTAGACTCCACCAAAAACCATAAAGCACACTTTATTTCATATTATATTCGTGCTATTGTTTTCATCTGTGCTTTAGTTTACTTCGTCAATTTTTTTTATTTTTTTTTTACAATTTTGTGAATTATTTTAGAAGCACCAAGCTTGTGAAATTTTATTCATATCGCAATATATTCATTAGTTCATTTTCCTTCGGCTTAGTCTCTATTTCAAAGGCCACCACAGTGGAATCAACCGACAACTATCCCAGCATATGAGCAACCTTCTTGCTCTTAGGCGACAGCAATATCCACTTGAGCCATCGTGCCTCCCCTATTGCAATATATATAGCAGAAAAACAAAATATTGCAAAGTTTTTTTCCATTGTTGTGCACCCCTAAATTATACCATTATTTGAGATCCAAGTTCCTTAACATGTTTAGAGTACAACAAAGTTATGCCTAGATTAAATTGCTTTAACAGGTAGTCAGCAGCTTGAAGAACCTTGTCCTCAACATTGAGGCAATGGCTGTCAGGCCATGTCCAAGCAGCAGGCTGGCTTCCTTCCATGCAGCCATGAAAAGCCAGAGAAATGTTAGGGAGCAGCAGCAAGAAATGCAGCCTCAATTTATATTTCGGGCAGAACTTTGATACATTTTTCTAAAGTTTTCAACCAAGCATTTAATTGTTTTACAGAAAAGTGTTAATATTAATTCATTTTTTTGTCATGAATCTAAATAGGAGATGACATGAATTCCTGTTAGTGTAGTGTAGTCAAATTATATATGAATCTAACAGCATTCAGAATAATGTCCTTACTTTGTAATGTATACTCCTCATTCTAATTCGTCAAGGGAGTTCCTTTGAAGAAGGGAGCATATGGCTAAGGATGGACCAATCAAACTGCTCCCAAGCTTCAGAGGAAGATAGAGACGCCAGTCGCTGCAATAGTTAAACAGCTGCGTCTTCGATTCAGCAGCCTACTTTGTATGTTATTAATCAGAATGGCTAACATAACATGTAAAAGACATACTTCATCATAAAAGTAGGTATTTAAAAATATGTACTTTTCAATTATTATAGAAACCTCTTTTTTCATGTCATTTTAGGTCAGGAGGAACATGGAACTGACACTGCAGCAACCAAAGCTGCCAAATGTTTCCAGGTGTTCAACCATGACCATTTGGCCAGAGACAGCAAAGGAGTTGGTTGACTATGGAGTACAGGAGATGGCCCTCTTGCTGGACCATTTTCAGGATGTACTGGAAAAGTAACTCATCATTAGTAATTAAAGACTTCTGATTAAGAGCTTTAATATAAAAAAACAACAACAACCAGCAACCGTTAGATTGCATTTTTTAGGAACAGCTGTGACTGTGCCCTTGCTGTGGAGGGGTTTCAGGACATGAAAACTCTAGTGTTTGTGTCTTTCAAAGACAAGAACTATCACAGTTTGTGGGAAACCCTTCTGACCAAGGACTTACAGGTAGGCTAAGTAAATAAATGTCAAAGTTGTTTGCTGATTGGTGCACTTTAGAGTTAGTTTTAATTACTTTCATCCTGACAGCAAAGTTATTTTTTTATTTCAGATCATCCTTCATCTTGTTAGGATAATGTTAGTCCTCCCAGTGTCCTCAGCGCAGTGTGAGAGGGGGTTCTCTGTACAGAAGCGTATCAAGTCGGATGTTAGATCTTCATTACACCCCAACACAGTAGAAGATCTTATCCGGATCAGTGTTGAGGGTCCTCCTTTGGCGTTGTTTGATGCCTCATCCTTAGTAAAGAGGTGGATGGAGGATGGACAGAGGGCCAGAAGACCAAATTTCAAATCCTGGCCACAGGATGTTTAAACGATCTGTGATTTTTGTTGTTTATGTTTTTTTGTTAGTTTTGATTGTGTTTTTTCCCTTCTCCTAATAAAAAACTGTTAATTTACAATTTGTAGTTGTGGTGCTCCTAAATTTTTAGTGCTACCAAGTGAAAAAGTTAATTTCGAGCCCTGAAAGGGTTTTAGGTACAAATGGGTACAAATTTTTAATGGTCCAAATGGTCTTGGTACACAACGTAAAAGTTGCCATTTTCTTGGCTGAATGGCTAGAACTAGGTTCAGAATTGACCTTTATTAGACAGGACAGTGGAATGAAGACAGAAATAAACAGGGAGCAGAGAGAGGGCAAAGATCTGCAAAGGACTTTGAGCTGGGAAACAAACGAAAACCAACCTGTTTGTTCCTCGACATCTTCTTGTTTGATTAGTATTTCTTCAATCTCCTCTTTTAGAAGCTCCATCTTTCCAATAGTGCGTCTCGTGGAGATCAGTCGCTTCAGCTGGAGTTTCCTCTGTGGGTTTAAATAATGCAAATATAATAATATTCTATGTGACTTTATTTAAGCCTATACCAACAGCAGTGAACGATCATTGAAATGTATCATAATAGGCGTAGTGTTGTCACAATACTGGAATTTCTGACTTCGATATGATGCCTTCAAATATATCAACATTCAATACATAATTTTAAGCAGATAGTTTTCTTTTTTCCTCAACATCTTCTTGTTTGATTGTTATTTCTTCAATCTCCTCTTTCAGAAGCTCCATCTTTCCAATAGTGCGTCTCGTATATATATCATAATAGGCGTAGTGTTGTCACTAGGGTTGTAACAATATACCGGTATGACGGTCTACCACGATTTGAACGTGCACGATTATCATACCATGAACAATTGCATATCAACGGTTTTAACCTTTAAAGACCGAGACAGCCGCCCGCGGTTAAAAATAAGTATTGCTCTTAAATGTTTAATAACTTTTGATCCGCTGATCCGATTCATACAATTCAAAGATTGGCATAAAGAAGAGAATCTCAGCTTTCCAGTGATGTATCACATAACATTCACGGACTTTCAGAGGCTCTGGAATCAGTGCGGTTACGTCATCAACATTTGACAACGCTGATTTGACAAAGAAACGCTCGTCACTGTGTCTCCGGACAAACCAGACATGATACATTGATGCATTGTCCCTCCTCCATGCCCAGATTGGTTCAAACTCGCTATATCACAACCAATAAGCATGGGTTTCGCTTTTGTTTGTGAACCAACAACAAGCTTTTTGAACAACACGGAATGAGAGATAGGCGTACATTTATGGGCGGCTAAATAAAACGCAAAAAAAAAAAGTTTTGCATGAAATAATTCTCATACTAAGTACTTTTGCATGCACAGCAGCACAGAAACATGACAAAACAGTGACACAGCAAAGATGAACTGCTGCTCTTGCTGTTTTCAAAAGACGCAAATGAAGGTGCAGCTGTTTGTCTGCATTGCAGACAACCATATCCAAATCCATATCCACAGACAACCATATCCATGCTGGCACATAAAACCTAAGGATGTTCCATATTGAATCTAGTTTCGTTATGTAACTACTTATAGTATAGTAAATATTTATATCTATTTTTTACTGAGGATTTGCACCATGTTTATTTGGACTTTATTTAGACTTTGACACATTATTTATTATTTTCTTATTTTTTTATTTGTTCATTGTAAGTGTTGTTTATAGTAACTGAAAATATATTATTTAGAAAAAGTCAAATTTGCTTCACTGTTCTATTATTTTGTAACATTTGGAACATACCGTATACCGCGAAACCGTCAAACCGTGGTAATGTTTTAGACGATTATCATACTGTGAAAAATTCATACCGTTACAACCCTAGTTGTCACAATACTGGAATTTCTGACTTCGATATGATGCCTTCAAATATATCAACATTCAATTCATAATTTTAAGCAGACAGTTTTCTTTTTTTTAAAAATAAATTGACAGCAAATTATAATTTAGAAACAGGTTTTAGAAATAGCGCTGTGACGGTGAGTTTTTTACTACTGCGGTGGTAAGTCACCAACAACCGCCGGTGTCGAGGTGGCCGTGAGGGGTTATGTCAATTATGCTGTGAAATAATCCGTGACAGAAGTTTATTTAAAAGTGAAAATTCTTTCTGTCATTATTTACTAACAATCCCGCCATCCCAACCTTCAGAACACAAATGTAGAAATTTTATAGTATGAAAAGGCAATTCAATTATGAAAAGTGTCAAATTAAAGCAATAGCCCAGAGATCTGGTCCCCGCGTCAAGGTCAGGGTTCGAGCAGCCTAATTTATTAACAACCTGTTTTGGTTAACCAATTCTTTAAATACAACTCTCTTAACCACTTAAACTCTGCGAACCCGGTGATGTCATCGACTTTCGCTTTCAGATTTAAAGGGCTAGCGTTGCACCAGACCCCCGTAAGTGGTTTCGTTTGAAAGTGTAGAATCTATATTTTATGCACATATGCATCACTTTGGTTTTTATTCTACTGTATGAAAGTTATTTACACTTAAATACACAGTATTTTGGATACCCGAGCTGGGTATTTTACATTGGTTCATTTTCATAATTTTTCATATGACACTTGTACAAGTTATAGCTCAAATGAAAGCTCTTGCCGGTGCTCATACGGTTCTAGCATTCATTTTACTGAATTATATTCACATGTCAAACAGTTGTTGAATGAATTGTTTACATTTCTGCGCCATGGAAACACCACAATACATTTATGATCAATAAGCAGCCCCAGATAGCACAGACAGCTGTCATCTCTTACCTTATGCTGTGCGCTTCAGGGCCATTCTCCTCTGTTTTTGGGGTGATGTGCATAAGTAATCCTTTTATATGTCTGACGTGGCCCAAACACAGTGAATTATGTTTGATCAAACAAAAGAATAGTGAAATATGAAAACAAGGATCGGTCGCCTCTGTGGCTTGTACAGCACCTCTCATCAGTTGGAATGCAAGAACTTTTGCATAGATTATGGTAGAGACCTTTTTCTTTTTTCCTATGATTACAGACATGTGCAGGAACCACCAACATTAATTACAGCACGCCAGACCACACAGAACCTAAAAGGTACACTTTCAAATTTGAGTTTATAAAAAAAAAATACAAAAAGCGCCTCTTTTTTTAGGTGTTTATTATAACACAGACCACATATACAGATATTTTAAACACTTTCAATAGTGTTTTTTGAAAATTCAAAGGGTTATCTTTAAAATGATACCACATTTTTGCATTTACTAGGGGTGTAACGATTTATCGTTGTACGATTTATTGCGATGCAAAAATGTCTCGATATGCATCGTGGCGTTATGACGATTTGATTACGATATGACGTCCATTTTCTCTTATTAGTTGAGCTGTTTGCACGTGAGCTACGTTCCACCTGCTGTCGCACGTGAGTTCAGATTGCAGCAGCAGTAATGTTAGCAGACCAAGATGAGTGGAGCTGAAATAGAGGATGGCCCATCCTCTGAAATCAGACGTCTGGCAACATTTCGGTTGTACAGTCATTGCTTTAGGCCCCGTTTACACTAGTACGTTTTAGTTTTAAAACGGCGTTTTAGAATGAAAACGATCCGCGTCCACACTCGCGTTTTACCCAGCGTTTCTGAACTGCTCTCCGTCCACACCAAAACGCTGAAAACGCACATCACGTGACCACACAGACGCTCTCGGGCAAGCGCTGCGCCCATCTACCCAGATGAGAGCTCTGCTAGTCGGACTTCTCATCAAGCATCTCCCGCTGGATCTAATCTCACTATATTTATTAAACGGGATATTTCATTTATCTTGTTGTCTTTATCTAACGACATATTCCCTGACTTTGGGCATTGGAATCTATTACTTGTTCTCAGGTAACGTGTTTTGGCTGAGCGCAAAGATAAGTTAATGATTAATGTAACCACGTAGCCTATTCTGTATATTGACTGATCGCTTGCCTTTATTTCCTATAATTTATAAACTTATTGTATGTTATACTTTTTAAATGGCCATTATCGATTATTAAAACTGATATTCAGCAAAAGAGTGGGTGTGTTTCGTATTTTCACTGAAATTGTAAGGAGGCAGTTGTTATCGGCTCCGTTTTGTTATAAATATCCACACAGTGAAGATGACGCTCATCTTATGCAGCACGACGCCTCAACATGTCTGCTGTCTAAGTTGCTAATATTAAAATGAAAATAGGCAGTTCCTTATATCATGTTTACATTTTATTGTTGAGAAAGTGAAACAACGAAGCCAGGGTGATGTGAATGAAGTTATAAAGTACACTGTTCCCTTTGAAGATTTACCCGTGTCCTCGGTATAGTCTGCTTTTCCATATCAAACTGAGAAGAAGAGATGCAGCCTTGATCAAACTTGCGAAGTCTGAACTTACACGGAGATGATGCAGGACTGAACTGTGCGTGTTAGGCTATACTTAATATTCAGAAAAAGCCCCAATCAGAGAGGCGAACGTCTGCAGCCCCGCCTCCGTTTTCAGATTTCTCCGTTTTCCATCATCCACACTGAGACGGAGCAGCAGCGTTTTAGAATGAAAACGGCCTCTCCAGCGTTTTCGAAACGATCCGTTTTCGGCGCTCGAGAACTCCGGCGTAGTGTGGACGGTTGGCGTAACCGTAGCAAAACTTATGCGTTTTCAAACTAAAACGCACTAGTGTAAACGGGGCCTTAGACTCGTCCGCTTTTTGACACGCATACTGGGTCAAACATCCTAAGTTTTAAAGTCTTCACAGTGATTTACATACTTTGCACAGCGACGTGGATACCTCCTAATGGTGTTGAAAGAGTCACATACTGTATTTATAAGGTACAATTCACCCTAAAATATCATTCTGTCTTCATATTATGATGTATTGGCGGCCGCAAAATCACACATGACGTGAGCTGACCGAGAGCTGTTACTACAGAGCGCGGACTATGATAGACGCGCGCGTATGGCAAGCCGTTTTAACATTTAAACCTTTGATGTGACTATCCATAAATATATTTAGAGATATCTCTTATTATATTTTGACTAGTCATAATTATAATTCGACTAGTCAAAATATAATTAGAGATATCTCTAAATGAATTTAATTAAATATGAATTACATATATTTATGGATAGTCAGAACAAAGGTTTAAATGCTAAAACGGCTTGCCATACGCGCGCGTCTGCTTCAGTGAACAGAACCTGCAGGTTGTGACTCAAGCCTGATTTATACTTCTGTGTCAAGTGACCGGCGTAACTCACGGCGCAGGCAACGCGCGTGGCTGTGCATTTACACTTCTGCGCGCTGTCTCTGTCGGTCTGCATTAACACTTCCAAAACACTAGTGGGCAGTGAGGTGTAAATGTTCCTCTGTGTTGAGTTTCTTCTCTACTTTTTTGCTTTTCCTGAACACTTCCGGGATGTACAAGTGGCTCAAACTCGCTCATTTTGAGGCAGGAACCGGCGGACGTGCAACAACTTTAACTATGAGGTAAACACAAAACAAAACTTTCCATCCGGAGCTCCTTCACGAGACTCCACACTTGTAAACAATCGCTCGCGCCATTCACGCGGCTCTCGGTCCCGCTTAGACTCGTCGGCGCTACCAAGCCGACCAATCACAGAGCTTACGCTACGCGTCGTTGCAACGTATAGTTACATTTTTTGAGAGGTGCACGTCAGTGACGGCGATGGCCACGGCGAAGGGCTATGCGTCAGCGCCGTAGCATACGCCACCGTTTGACGCAGAAGTATAAATCAGCCTTCATAAAGTAGTAAACAACATTCAGTTTGTGGAACAGATTGATCTTTCAGGAGCCTCGTGGGAAGTTTGAACAGCACTTAGCAGTGTAAATGAAACCGAAAACGTGCACATTATTTAAACAATCATATCGCATTTTAGAGTTATGATTACGACGAGCTAACCCTTTAAAGCTAAATTTGAGTACAGAGGTACACAAAAATGCACGTCAACATGATACACTTGATAGCGCCGACATCAGCGACGCCGAAGAAATAGTAAACCTGCCTAAACTCCAGGCGGAAATCCCCAAATAGCAGCAGAGTTTAAGTGGTTAAGCTATAAATGGAAAAAAAGCTAAAGAATATAGCCGTTAAATTCATTTTAGCAGAGACGCCACCGCCAGTCATTTTCACATTAGCTTTTAAGTCAGGGATTAATAATAAAAATGTTTACTTGGACATTGCATAGTCTACACTATAATTCATATTATAACTATTTATATTTATTATTACTCATTAAAAAACCAAGCTATAAAACTGACAAAGCGCAAAACCCTTTAGAATGTTTGCTTTCATTTTGACATTGCTAAAGCGCACTTTTACTGTTGTGAAAAGAATCATCCCATTATTCAGCAGCAGTCTCAAGTTAGGACACTTAATAAATGCCTTTTGAGGCATTTAATTGAAGTCAAGATTGCAGTGTTATTAATTAAATAGGTAGGCTGTAGTGCGGTGAGTAAGTGGATTTGCTGCGGATCCAGCTCTCGATTGAATGATAATCTAGGGTAGACAGCTCTTGGTTTTGCTACACTAATGCCTTAAAATCTTATTAATATTACATTTAGCTACTATTTTTTTAAGACATTACATTCTAACATTTAACTTTTTGCTAACGCTGATATTGGTTGGGTAATGAAGGGTTACGACTCGGTTATTTACCGGTTACACAATATAGTAAGTTAGCTTGCATGCGTGGGCATAGTTTGACGTCTTTACCTAAAACTTTAAACATTTGAATTATTTGAATTACAATGGAAATAAACAATATTATTGTCATTTTAAGACCATTTTTAAGACAAAACCGAAGAATGACAATATAATATTATCACGATGCAAGTACACTTTTCCAAAGAACATCATATTTTATTCTTAAGAATATTTCATGTAATTATTGTCATTTTAACAATTTAATAATGAGGCATTGGATTTAAAATGTGAAAGGCTGGGAGATGACCAGCTAAAACCAACTTGACCAGCCTAGCCAAAACCAGGTCCAAATGTTCATGGG